GGCGCGGGCACAGTGTGTGCGCAGTGCGGGGCCGATCGGACCAAAGAGGGGCGCAGACTGACCAAATGTGCTGGGTGCTTGGCGGTCAGGTGTGGGGTGGGACCAGGGGTTTAGGGGAGACTGCAGCACGCATCCTCGTCTGATCAGCTCTTCGATCCCCGCAGCTTCTTTTCCACAGCTTTAAGCTCGTCAATGTGAGCGCCAGTGTCAGCTGACTGCGCCCCTGCCTGTGCTCAGCAGATACTTGCCACTTTTCTCTTGTCAGCGTCCTCCCTGACCCTCTCCTTGCCGTTTGACTTGCCGTCCTGAGGGCGCAGTTACTGCGGCACCGAGTGCCAGCGGCAGCACTGGCGTGGCGGGGGCCACAGGCAGATGTGCAAGCAGCTGAGGGCAGAGTAGGTGCTGCACCTACTTGCTTGTGGCACAATAACCAGCGCTAATGCGCACCATTCAAGGGGGAAGGGGGCCCCCAGCCGCACCTGGCCTAGAGTCAGCAGTTCCGGGTTGCAGGTCGGTTTTTTGCGGCAGGGGTGCCAGGGGCAGAAGGCGAGGCAGTTGGGCACTTGGGAACCCAGGGCAGCTAGCACACTGTGCTGCGCACTACAGTCGAGCGTGCGAGCAGTGTGCAGGCATTGAAGTTGACGGGCTTTTGGATAGGGTGGCTTGTTGAAAACCCAGCTGTATGGGCAGCATGTTAACAGCGACCTTTGAGGTATGCATAGCGCGTGTAACGTAGTTGTCGCGGTCCAGTGTTAGACAACATACCACGCAGCTGCCAGGACATGGGCGAGGGCGACATGCCGGCACAGGAGCTTGGGTACTTGGACTGTCTGTGACAGCACGAGCCGCTCGAGCTCACCCGGTGACAGAGTAACGTGTTGTCGCTCCACCATCTGGGGCCATGGTCCGCTTATCAAACACAAAACACTGCTTATATCCTCACTTTCTCAATCAACATCAGTTCCGTGCGTGCGTCAAACGCACACTTTGGCGCGATCTACATCAAGCGGGCTGCTGCGGAAGTGTCTTCGCCAACCTTGAAGCGTCGCGTGAAGTGTTACGTGTGTATCATGCAGCAGCACACAGCTCAGGCTTCGCCTGGCCGTGCACAGGACGCAGTAGGCAGGGTGCTGCTGCAGGGCGCAATCGTGGCAGGCATCATCGCCCATGTTGATGCAGGCACCCGCCGCACCATGCGTGCCGTGAGCCGCGGCCTGCGGGCTGCTATCGACACATCGCGCGAGACTCTCTTCTTCACATCCGCCGGGGGCGATCCCGGCTCTGCCGCACCTGCCCTGCGCCATGTTGCGTCCTCCTGGCAGCGGTGGGGCGGCGTCAGGACGATGGAGCTCTCGTGCCTGGGGTCTGCGTGCTTGGGGCCTGCACTGGCCCTCCTGGATGGTGCGGCCAGGTGAGGAAGCGTCTTGGTCGAGCATGGCAGGGCCGGGAGACAGCAAATGGGCGCTAGTCGCTCAGAAGGGCTGCGCTGCATGCAACGTCGCTTTAACCTCGTGCGCCCTGTTTGCATGGCGGCGTTTCACGTTTGAGCCTGCCGTTTGGCACATGGAAGTTGCGCATGTGCGTGAAAATCAAAAATTCCAAGCTCATCCTTGTCACAAGCGGTCTGCTTGGAGAAAAGCACAGGCATACAGTTGGCCGCACGTCTGCCGGCCCCGCCTGCACCCCTGTCGCCGCCCCAGGCACTGCCCACGGCTGTCGGCCATGGCTATCACACACCTGGAACGAGAGGTGACCATTGCCATCACGTCTTTTCTGTCAAGCGGCCGTCTGACAAACCTCACATCACTGGTAGTGGTCGCCCCCCTCGACGGCCCGCCCCCGCTGCTGACGCCACTCGGCCAGCTGGCCAGCCTGACCCAGCTCGCTTTCTCGGGCCGAGCCGATCCCGCCAGCACAGAGTGGCTGCCGCGCGGCCTGCGGGTCCTGCTCCTGAGTGGCAGAGCGCAAATTGGCTGCTGGGGTATAGGGTGCGCGTCGTGGCTGAATTGTGTTGCGGCGTGCCGTGGGCTGGAGCAGCTGCACCTCTACTGGTTGAAAGGTGCCGACTTGGGGGAGGACGAGGACACGGGCAGCTTGCCTGGGGTGCCTGAGTTGGCCAAATTCTACTCACGCATTGGCCAGGTGGGCTGAGGGTGTTGCTGCGTTTGCATGGCGGCAGGATGGACTTCGCAGTAATGGAACCTACTCCAGACAAACACCGTCGAGCGGGCATGGGCTCTTGGGCTCGCGGGCAGTCAAGATCTCACCGTCTCGCATTCTCTAGCTTATCCTGCCACGTGCTTCACATGCCCTCGCAGCTCACCAGCCTGCGGCAGCTGCGCGGCGTCCTTGTCGACACATGCAACCTCGACCCAAGGCTGCTGCTCCCAAACCTGACAGCACTGCAGCAGCTGGCCCTGTACATCGCCACCTCGAACGGCCAGCTCGCGCCGGCACTGCTTGGCCCCTTGAGCAGCCTGGCTGCGCAGGCTTCCACTCTGGACGAGCTCGCATTTCATGTGTGCCAGGGGTCGATCGATCCAAGCGCAGGCGCTCCGCGCTTCCCGTGCCTCAGACACCTGCACATTGTGTTCAACGACCCTCGCTGCTACCCTGCATCGCTCCCCGCCTCCTTCCCTGCCGCGAGCCTCGTCGTTGTTGGTTGCAAGCAAGACTTCTGCAACACTGCAATAGACTTTTTTGCACTCGCGTCCCTGCCAAACCTGCAACACCTTTACATCATTTCCTCTGGGTATAACGATTTTACGGGCCCCATGGATGCCCTGTCAGGGTGCAGCACCCTGCGCTGGCTGCAACTGTGCAGCCTGCAGGACCTGCCCCTCGCCAGCTGCCTGGAGCTCGCGCACGCGCCGCAGCTGCAGCGGCTGGAGGCGCACGGCTGCACCTTTGACCAGCCACTGTCGCAGGATGCGCTTGGCGCCGTGCTCGGCGCTATCGTTCGCGGCCGCGAGGGCTTGCATGCGGTGGTACAGGCGGACAGCCTGTCGCCAACGCCATGCCTGCTGCCAGCCGGATTGATAGGTCAGGGCCACCTTCTGTTCGGGTGGTAGTGCTGACACTTTTGATTGCATATGATTTTACAATTTGTCGTGCAGCAGACTGTGTCAAAAAGTGCGCTTTGCTTTGGTGGCGGAGCGGACCAGCTGTCTTCTGGGCGGTGCCTGCTGCATCGAAGGGCAGCTTTTGTACATGTAAGCATTTTGCCATACTGTAGCTCATTGCAGCCTTCGTTTCAGGGTGATGCGCATACCATACCTGCACAGTACCGTAGTGCTGACCATGTCTTGAGTTTACTAATCATGTGTACATCACCTCTTCCTTTGATAATCCTGACATCATGCAACTGCACAAGCTCGACCAGCCACCAGCACCCGAACTCAGCGACCACCAGACTGCCAGCGGCAGCAGGGCATCGACTGGGCATAAATCACCAAGCCACTCGACCATCAGCCTGCCTTACGCTGGAAACCAGCTGTGATACACATTTTTTGCGAAATTGGCAAATCAAGTGGGTCATCAATCCCGATGATAACAAAATCTTCGCTTGCAGATCATTGTGAAATTTTCCGCGCGAACGAGCCGCATCTGCCCAATAATCCTGCGTTTCCTCAACGGAGCCTGTCTCATATATGCATCTCTTTGAACGCTGAGGTCAGGCCAAACCCGGTCATGCGCAGCGCACAACGCGCACCTCACCCGCCCCAGAGCAGCGCGTCTGGCCGAGTGCCATGCTGCTGCCAGTCGAAATCCTGACACTCATCGTGGCCCACACTGATGCAGACGACCGCCACGCGCTGCGAGCCGCGAGCCGCGACCTGCGCAGCGCCGTCGACGCGGGCTGCAAAGCACTCACACTAACCAGGCCGCGCACCTGCACTCCGGCTGTGGCGGTCCCCGCGCTGCACCGCGCCGCGGCGTGCTGCCACCGCTGGGGGGGCGTCCGTGCGCTAACGCTCAAAGACCTGGGCGCCGAGTGCATTCGGCCTGCGCTGGCGCTGCTGAACAGCGCAGCCAGGTGGGTGTGATGACGGGCATGGGAGGGCCCGCAGTAACAGGCGTGCACCAGCTGCAACGCCAGCCGTTGTCATTGCTGCATGCACCTTAATTTTAGCTCCAGACTTGGCAGCGGCCTCCCCGGATCCTGCCACCCATGTCAACCACCCAGCCTTGGATCGGCCGCCCTTGCGTCCTTACGCTCATGCCCCCCTCCTAAATGCTGTGTCCCCCTTGCTCATCCCAGGCACTGCCCAGAGCTGTCCTCCATCACACTCACGCGCCTGGACCGTGAGCTGTCCCTGGCCCTCACCTCCTGCCTGTCTAGCTGCCGCCTGGCGAGCCTGACATCGCTGGCACTGGCTGCCCCCAAGCACGGGCAACCGCTGCTGCTCACGCCGCTCGGCGAGCTCTCCAGCCTCACTGCCCTGACCGTCGTCGGCCGCTCCTCCGGTGCAAGCGCTGCTTGGCTCCCGCCCAGCCTGCGGCGCCTGCGGCTGGGCGCGCATGGCATGAACGACTCGGGGATCGGCGGCACGTCTTGGCTCGACGCCATTGGCGCGTGCTGCAGTCTGGAGGTGCTCGAGCTGTCCTGGCTTGACCCCTTTGACTTGGGGGAAAAGCCGGACGACCCTGACGAGGAGCTCGACTTCTCTGAATTCTATGCCAGCGTTGGCCAGGTGGGTGATCAAATGTCACAAACCCTTGCGAAACAGCGCTGAGTTGGCTTCCGACTTCTCTCAACCGACAGCCCCGCAAGGACACAGTCGGCTGAAGGCGGCTGCTTCTGCTGACTGGCCCCTGCAGTTTTTTCACCCCCTTCCCCGCCTCGCACCCGCGTTCTGCCTCGCAGCTCACCAACCTGCGGGAGCTGAGCGGCGCGTTCAGTGGTATCACCTTTGACAACGACGACGACGACGAGGACGGTGCAGATGGTTACCGCATCGACTGCCTCGAGCCCGACCTTCTCCTGCCGTCCCTGACCGCGCTGCGGCGACTCGCGCTATACATTGGATGCGACGGCCGCTGGGATGAGCTTAAGCCAGCGGTCAAGGGGCCCCTGAGCAGCCTGGCCGCGCAGTGCGCGACCCTGGAGGAGCTCGCTTTCGACGTGGAGCCCGAGGACGACGTTGACGCCGCGCTCGTGCCATGCTTCCCGCGCCTGGACGCCCTCAACGTCACCTTCACGCAGCACGAGAGCTACCCCCCATTGCTCCGACAAACGTTTCCTGCAGTGAGCCGGCTGATAGTGGGCGGCATGGCCAGCCCTGACGGCGCCATCATGGATTTTGATGCAGTCGCATCCCTGCCTTGCTGCACGAGCCTCTCCATCTTGGTGGCACCGGATGGCGGCGAGTTGAGTTTCTTCGGCCGCATGGGCGCCCTGTCTGGGTGTAGCACCCTCACCCACGTGCGCCTGTGCAGCCTGCCCCAGGCTCCGCTCGAGCAGTGCCTCGAGCTTGCAATCGCGCCGCAAATCCGCGTGCTTGAGGTGCACGACTGCACATTTGACAAGGAGTTGTCGCTGGACGCGCTGGCCACGTCGGTGCGCGCTGTCGCACGGCGCCGCGAGGGCTTTGATGTGGTGGTGCAGCAGGAGCAGATCTATCCTGCACCCGGCCTGCTGTCGCTCGAAATGTTGCACAACTGATTATTGCTGCGGGGCGAGCGAAAGCAGGACTGCGCGCCAACCAGCCCTACTGCTCCACTTCACTCGTGCCTGCTCGAGCATATGTGTATACTGGGCGCACCCGCTGCTGAGCGCCCTGTACACTCGCAGCATCCAAGTAACCCTGTGCACTTATAAGCCACCCTGGTGCACATCCATGACAGGCAACCGGTGCAGGGGGCGATACGGCAGTAAAGAAGGGGAGGCATAACACAGCGCTGCACAGCAGCATGACCAGCATCCCGACGTTAGCCGTTGATGATTGCAGGTTGGTTCGCGTCCTTGGTTCGCAGGCGTGCAGCATCTGTCAGCACCTCAGCTGGCACGGCAACAAAGCAGAATTTTTCTGTCGTGCAAAACGCCCGGCAAGCCCAGGCTTTGCCGACGTGCAAGGGGTTGAAATGCAGGGCGGGCGACTCTGGCCACCAGCCCAAAATCCCATGTGTGCCTGTGAGTTGCAGTGAGCCGCGCCATTCACAGCCCCAACAAGGGTGTTGGAAGTTCTGCGGTCACTGGAGTCGTCCGGCATGACCGTCCCCGCATCTACCAACGCCACAAAGGACTGAGAACTACTGCCGCTGGTGTGGGCGATTAACAAGCAGCACAGGGCCTGGCCGGGCAAAGCTGCGACAAGGCCAAGGATGGGCAACGCTGCTAGACATTGCAAGCACACACGTCTGAATAAAAGGCACATCACTGTATGTGGAGGTGCACAGCTGCACCTTCGACAAACGCCTGTCGCAAGGTGCGCTTGGCGCCGTGCTCCGCGCCATCATTCGCCGCCGCGGGGGCTTTGACGCGGTGGTGGAGGCGGACCACCTGGTGCCAGCGCCGAGCCTGCTGCCAGCCGCACTGGTACGCCAGGGCCACCTTCTGTTTGGATGGTGGTGCTGACACGTTTGATCCTATGTGGCTGTACGATTTTCCATTCAGATTTTGTCACCAGCTAGGATTTGCCTTGGTGATACAGTAGAGGCGACCCACCTGTCCTTTTTGCCGTGCCCTTGCATACCAGGGCAACTTTTGTACTGTACATGCAGGTGTGCTATGGCTCCGAGCTGCAGGTGTGCTGTAGCTCAGAGCGGAGCGGTGCCGTACCCGTACTGCAGTGCTGACCGTTTTGAATGTGCAGATGTTATAGGGTGTGTGCATCACCTTTATCCAACGTTCATTTTATGTATCTGCAGCATCAAGGGCCAGACCTGGCACCAGCAGCTGGCTTTAGGGACAACTGTCAGACCGCTGCAGACGCCCGTGGGTCACCAAGTCACCATCAGACCATTGGCCTGACGGTCTCGAGAAATCAGCTGTAATGCACAGAATTGGTATCGAAGATTGTGCAAGTCGATCATCCCGGCTGAACATCTCGAATATCACCAGATCACTCAATTCGCGCGCATCGCCCGCGTCCGCCAAACAATCCTACGTCGTCCCTCAACGGTGTCCTGACGTCTCATCTTCTGCATACATTTGCACGCTGAGCTCAGGCCAAACCCGATCCTGTGCAGCATACACGGCGCACCTCGCCCACCCATAGCAGCGCAACTGGCTGAGAGCCATGTCGCTGCCAACAGAGGTCCTGACACTGATCGTGGCCCACACTGATGCAAACACCCGCCATGCGCTGCGCGCCGCGAGCCGCGGCCTGCGCAACGCCGTCGATGCGAACTGCAAAGCGCTCACGCTGCCCAGGACACGAACTTGCAGTCCTGCAGCCGTGCTCCTCGCGCTGCAAAGCGCCGCGGCGTGCTGCAACCGGTGGGGCGGCGTCAGGGCGCTCACTCTCAAAGACCTGGGCGCCGAGTGCATGCGGCCTGCGCTGGCGCTGCTGAACGGTGCAGCCAGGTGGGTGTCATGCCGTGGCAAGGGAGGCGCCGCAGTCTGGTAGTAGGCATGCACCAGCTGCAACGCCGGCCGTGTTCATCGCTGTATGCACCTTGCTTCATGCTCCAGACTTGGCAGTGGCCTCCCCGCATACTGGCGGTCACAATGCCAAAAGCCCCGCCATGCACCAGCCGCCCTCGCGTCGCTCTTGCTATGCGCCCCCCCCCAAAGTTCGTGTCTCCCTTGCCCATCCCAGGCATTGTCCAGAGCTCTCCACCATCACACTGGCGCGCCTGGACTGCAAGCTGTCGCTGGCCCTCACCTCCTGCCTGTCCAGCTGCCGCCTGGCGAGCCTGACATCGCTGGCGCTGACGGCCTCCAATCACGGGGAGTCGCTGCCGCTCACGCCGGTGGGCGAGCTTTCAAGCCTCACTGCCCTCACCGTCATTGGCCGCGCCGACGTCGCGAGCGCCGCTTGGCTCCCGCCCGGCCTGCGGCGCCTGCGGCTCGGCGCACTCGACTTGGAACATCCGGGGATCGGCGGCACGTCTTGGCTCGACGCCATTGGCGCGTGCCGCGGCCTGGAGGTGCTCGAACTGTCCTGGCTTGATGGCCTTGACTTGGGGCCAGAACCGGACCACCCCGACGACGAGTTCGACTTCACAAAGTTTTACTCCAGCATTGGCCAGGTGGGTGATCATATGGCACAAACCTGTCTCAATCAGCGCTGGGTATTGGCTACCGACAGGTCTCAGCCAGCAGCCTGCCAGGACGCACCCGGCTGAAGCCGGCTGCTGCGGCTGGCTGGCCCCCCGCAGTGCCCCACTCCGTCGCACGTGCTTTTCCCTCGCAGCTCACCAACCTGCGCGAGCTGATCGGCGTGTTCTATCGGGAGGCTAACGGCCTCGCGGAAATCTACAGCATCGACGGCTTTGAGGCCCACCTGCTCCTGCCAAAGCTGACCGCGCTGCAGCGGCTCGCGCTGTACACCGGATTCGAAGACCAGATGGACCCGGCGATCAAGGGCCCTTTGAGCAGCCTAGCAGCGCAGTGCGCGACCCTGGAGGAGCTCGCGTTCGGCGCGCTCCCTGCGGCCGACGACGCCGACGCCGCGCTCGTGCCATGCTTCCCGCGCCTCGATGGCCTTCACATCACCTTTTCGCAGCACAAAAGCTACCCCCCATCGCTGCGATCGACATTCCCTGCAGTAAGCCGGCTGATAGTGGGCTGCAATGCCAGCTATTACGGCGCCGTTGTAGATTTTGATGCAGTCGCATCCCTGCCTTGCTGCACAAGTCTCTCCATTATGGAGGCACCGGATATGCCGGAACTATCCGGCATATCGGATTTCTATGGCCGCATAGACGCCCTGTCCAGGTGCAGCACCTTGAGACACGTGCGCCTGTCAAGCCTGTTTAAGGCTCCGCTTGAGGAATGCCTCGAGCTTGCAATCGCGCCGCAAATCCGCGTTCTCGAGATGCACGGCTGCACATTCGATGACGAGGTGTCGCCGAACGCGCTCGCCACGTCGTTACGCGTCGTCGCGCGCCGGCGCGAGGGCTTCAGCGTGGTGGTTGAGCCGCGGCCGCTCTCCCCTCTGCCCTGCCTGCTGCCACATGACATTCTGGATGGGTGATTGTTGCTGCCGGGCATGCAACAGCAGGAGTACCCGCCATCCAGCCCTCCTGCCGCACTTCACTCGTGCTAGCTTGAGCAGATGCCACTTGTTGTCCACTTGTGTAGGCATGACCTCTGCTGAGAACCTATACCCTTGCAGCATACCACCATGATCTTCTGCAAGCAACACCCACCCCGTTGCACAAAGCGCGACAGGGACCCTTGCACGCAGTGCTATGACTATGTTGCAGGGCCGGCAACACACCGCGCTGGACAGCAGCTCTACCAGCATGTATATAATGGCTGTTGCTTATCACAGCTTGGTCCCCTCCTTGGTAGGCAGGCATGCAGCATCTGTCAGTGCCCTCAGCTGGAACGGCAACAATCAGAGTATTCAAATGTCAGGCCCAGCAAGCACACGCTTTGTACGCATTCAAGAGGCATCAATGCAGGGGACGGAAGCGCTGACCACCAGTCTAAACAACACTTGTGCCTGTGAATTTGCAGTCAGCTCCAGCCAACCGCCCCCCCCCCCCCCCCGAGGTGGCGGGGAGTTCTACAGGTGACGCGTTGTCTGGCATTACGGCGCGCACAACTCCCAACGTCACAAATGGCTGAGCTCCGCCTCTGGTGTGTGCGTCCACTAAGCAGCAATTGGTTTGGCCAGACAAAACAAAGGCAACAGCCAAGGATGGGCGCTGCTGCCTGAAATACTGCAGGTACACATACACAAACAAAAGCCTCCTTACTGCGGAGGTGCATGGCGGCACCTTTGACTCGCGCCTGTCGCAGAATGTGCATTACATAGCACTCCGCACTTTCGCTTACTGCCGTGAGGGGCTTTGAGGCGGTTGTGGAGGCGGACCCTCTGTAATCGGCGCCGCGCATGCTGCTAGCCAGACTGCAGCGCCAGGGCTACTCTGCAGTTGGGTGATAGTGTGGACACCGTGATTGCACACAACTGCGTGTGCAACTTGCCATGCAGGTCCTGTCAACAGCTGGGATTGCGGCCTGCCTGTCATTTGGGCCGTGCCCTTGCATGCAAGGGCAACTTGTGTATGGTATGTGTGTTGTGGCTCAGAGCTGCGTTGATTCCAGGCGGTGTGTCACTTGTGCTGCAGTGCTGACTGTTTTCGATATTGCTGATGTTATAGCGTGCTCCCTTCAGCCATCACATCACGCGTCTGCCGCACGTCCTGCCAGAGCTGGCACCAGCATGTGGACTCGGCCTGAACCACTGTCTGTTGCTGCCCGACTGCTGCTGCCGCTCGTGGGTCACGAAGTCGCTCGACCATTGGCGCAGGAAATCAGGTGTGATACACAGATCTCTTCGACGGCAAGCTTATAATATAATGTACATCCGGGCTGAACAATTCGAACCTGCAGATCACTCAAATTGAGCGCGAAGCGCCCGCACCCGCCCAACAATCTTACCTCGTCCCTCAACGGACACCTGACGTCTCATCTTCTACCAACTTTGAACGCTTAGCTGCGGCCATCCCTGATCGTTCGCAGCACAAACGGCGCACCTCGCCCACCCCCTGAGAGCAGTGCGTCTGGCCGAGTGCCATGCCGCTGCCAATCGAGGTCTTGACACTCATCGTGGCCAACACTGATCCAGGCAATCGCCATGCGCTGCGCGCCGCAAGCCGTGACCTGCGCAGCGCCGTTGACGCGACCTGCAAAGCACTCGCGCTGCCCGGGGCGCACACCTGCAGTCCAGCTGCTGCGGTCCTCGCGCTGCAACGCGCCGCGGCGTGCTGCCACCGGTGGGGCGGCGTCAGGGCGCTCACTCTCAGAGACTTGGGCGCAGAGTGCATGGGGCCTGCGCTGGCGCTGCTTAACGGCGCAGCTAGGTGGGTGTCATGCTGGGCATGCGAGGGGCTGCAGCCGTTGATGTGCACGCCCTGCAACACCCGTCGTGATCATTGCTGCGTGCATCTTGCTGTATGCCTCAGTCTTGCCAGCGGCCACTTCGATTCCGCCAGCCACCACGTCAACAACCCCGCCAGTCTTCAGCCGCCGTTGTGTCAGTGCCTTTACTCACCCCTCTCCTGAATCTGTGTCGCCCTTGCCCACCCCAGGCACTGCCCAGAGCTGTCCTCCATCGCACTCTCGCGCCTGGACCGCGATCTGTCCCTGGTACTCACCACCTGCCTGTCCAGCTGCTGCCTGGCGAGCCTGACGTCGCTGGCGCTGACGGCCCCCAACCCCAAGCAGCCGCTTCTGCTCACGCCGCTGGGCGAGCTGGCCAGCCTGACCGCCCTCACCCTTGTTGGTCGCGCCGATGGCGCCAGCGCCGCATGGCTCCCGCCCGGCCTGCGGCGCCTGCGGCTGGTTGCGCACAGCATGAACCACTCGGGGATCGGCGGCACGTCTTGGCTGGACGCCATTGGCGCGTGCTGTGGCCTGGAGGTGCTCGAGCTGTCCTGGCTTGATGCCCTGGACTTGGGGCCAGAACCGGACCACCCCGACGACGAGTTTGACTTCACAAAGTTTTACTCCAGCATTGGCCAGGTGGGTGATTGCATGGATCAATGCGAATCAGCACTGGGTTTGGCTGCCAACGGCTCTCAGCCGACTGCCCCGCAAGGACTCAGCGGGTAATCTTGCCGGAGCTCACGTCGATTGTTAAGGTCGCGCAATGCGGCTGAAGGCGGCTGCTGCAGCAGACGGTGCATTGCCCCTCCCCCTTCCCTAAGTTTGAGACCTGAACCGCCGTGCGCGCGCCCTCCCTCGCAGCTCACCAACCTGCGTGAGCTGAGCGGCATCTTCTGTCGAGTGGCTGACGGCGCCGCGGACTGCTACAGTTTTGACACCCTCGATCCCTACCTGCTGCTGCCACAGCTGACCGCGCTGCAGCGACTCGCGCTGTACGCCGGATTCGAAGACGAGCTCGAGCCGGTGTTCAAGGGGCCTCTGAGCAGCCTGGCAGCGCAGTGTGCGACCCTGGAGGAGCTCGCTTTCAACGTGCAGCCTGCGGCCGACGCCCACGCCGCGCTCGCGCCATGCTTCCCGCGCCTCGACAGCCTCCACATCACCTTCAAGGAGCACGGATGCTACCCTACATCGCTGCGATCAACGTTCCCTGCCGTGAGCCGGTTGATTGTGGGCTGTACATCAACCTGTGAGAACACCATTGTGAATTTCAATGCTGTCGCGTCAATGCCTTGCTGCGCGAGCCTCTCAATCGTGGCGGCACACGATCCTGGCGACTTGATTTTCCTCGGCCGCCCTGCTGCCCTGTCTCGGTGCAGCACCCTCACCCACGTGCGCCTGTGCAGCCTGACTGAGGCTCCGCTTGAGAAGTGCCTCGAGCTTGCAATCGCGCCGCAAATCCGCGTGCTTGAGGTGCACGGCTGCACATTTGATGACGAGGTGTCGCTGAGCGCGCTGGCCACGTCGTTACGCGTCGTCTCGCGCCGCCGCCAGGGCTTCAGCGTGGTGGTTGAGCCGGGGCCGCTCTACCCTCCGCCCTGCCTGCTGCCGCCCGACATTCTGGACGGGTGATTGTTGCTGCAGGGGCGTGCAACAGCAGGGCTGCGCGTCAACCAGCCCTGCTGCCACATTTCACCCGTGCCGGCTTGAGCCGGTCCCTCCTATTGTCAACTTGTGAAGACACCCCATCTGCTGAGCACCCTGTACCCTCGCAGCATCCAGTGTGACTCTGTGCACGCAACGGCCACCCTCTTGCGCAACCACGACAGTTGATCCTTGCATGATTTGCCACGACAAGATTGCATAGCCTGCAAAACGTAGCGCTGCACAATGCGCAAGACATTGGCGTTTGTGTTACACAATGGCTGCCTCCTTGGTGGTAGGCGTGCAGCATCCGCCAGCGCCCCCAGATGACATGGCAGCACATACAGCATACAACTGTAAGGCCCATACATGCCCGTGAAATGCGGTCAAGCTATTCGCGCCCCTAAGAAGGGCATTAGGAGTTCCGCAGGCACCGTGTTGTGTCGTACTGCCACGCCCGCAACTATTGACGCCACTCACTGCTGAGCTCCGCCTCTGGTGTGTGCGTCCACTGTGATTAAAAAAAGTGAGGCGATAGCCAACGATGGCGATGCTGCCAAAATACATTGCATGTACACAAGCCCAGATAGAAGCCACACTACTGCGGCAGAAGGGTGCAACAGACAGCTGCAATCGGCAGGAAAGATTGTGCATCAACGCTGTGCGGATGCACTGCTCAGGTTCACAGGTGGCAGTCAATAAGGCAAAGACGACAGAGGTGGATGCGTTGACTGCATAGCCCAAGCAGCATTTAGTCAGCCCAAAGTCGCCCTGACAATCAAGGTTCGCAAACATTCAAGTTTCACGCTGCCCTGGAGGCCAAATGAGACGCAGGGCGGCAGCAAAGAGTGCGGCCGGGCCAGTTGGCTCCATGCGTGCACCTGCAGTGCTGGCGCAGCTTGCTCCGGTGGCTGCCGCCTCAACACGCCCTCAGCGCCCTCCTCTCGCAAGTCAAAATGCAGGCGGTTGCCACAAACTGCCCTGGCATTCACGCGCCTCTTTGTGGGAGCTGAAGCAGCCCTCTGAGTGGCCGCCACTTGCGGGAATCATACGCATACACCCTGGAAATTCTCCGGGAATGTCGGTTGACTGAAAAGTCAATGGGCAGGCGTCGAAGGGACACGGCGTACTGTAATGTCTTGGGGGAGAGGGTGCTGGCTGCCATGCCTTGTGCAGCGCCGGCAGCAACAAAGGTCCGGTGGCGGGGTCAGAAATAACCTCAAAAGCCATCAAGGGCAGCAGAGGCGATTGCAGGGTCCATCAATGGCTGAAGGGCAGTGCACAACGTCCTGCGCAGCTACACCTCGACCACTGCGGCAGGGGCGCCCGGCGTCGCCCCGCCCAGCGCGGCCGTGCCGTCTATTTCTGCAGCTTGCGGGGCCGCTGGCGGGGTCGCGGAGAGGGTAGCATTGCCCTCCTCAACCGCCACAGCAGCTGGCGCTATCGCCATTGGTGCCGCTGAAACCTCTGCTGCCCCTCCTGCCGCCGTTGCAACCGCCGCTGCCTTTGCTGCCTCCGTCGCTGCAGCGTCCTCAACGAGCAACGCGTCCTGCCCACGGCCAGCCCCAGCAGCCACCGCACCCTCCGCCGCAGGGTTGGCCCCCGCGGTGGCAGCCGAGTCCACGGCGCCCGCGGCCGCCTCTGTCTGGATTCCCGCTGCGCCAGCAGAGGTCACAGCCTCACCATCAGGCAAGGCCGCCAGAACGCCTGCCTCGGCTGCGGCAGCACCTGTACCGAGATCCCCATCCCCTGCAGCAGCTGGCGCAGGCAGCTCCCCACGTGTGGCCTCGCTGTCAAACGCTGCGGCTGTCTCGCCAGCTCGGGCAAGGGCATCGCCCGCCATGTCCGCCGCTGCCGCCGGTGCCGACGTGCCGGCGCCCGTGCTTTCACCGCTGATGGAACAGCTCGCCCCAGCATTGGTTGTTCGCGGCGAAGACACAATGTCTTGCGGCGGCTCACCCCCAGCGGACTGCGTGCCAGCCGCCCCTCCGCCGCCGCTGCCACCGCCGCCATCGGCTGACGGGCGCAGCTGCTGCCCGGCCTCGCCGCCCGCGTCCTCCCCCGAGGCCGCCTGGGTCGCGGCCTTCAGCGTGATCCTGCAGCCGCCGGTGCCCGCGGGCCGCTGCACGAGGACCAGCTCTGCAGGCACCGCGCCCCTGCCAAACCTTCGCCACTCCATTTCCTGCTCCTCCTCTTGGTCCTTGTCAGCAACCGCCGCGCGGCGACTGCCGGCGGCGGCGCCCGCCCAGCTGGGGCTCTCGGGCGCGTCCAGCAGCGCGCGGCGCGCGGCGGCGACGCGCGCGGCCGCGACCGCCTCCGCCGCGACGGCGGCCTCAGAGGGCGGGGGGCCGGCGTCCTCGTGCGTGGCGGGGGCCGGGAGGCGGATATGCAGGGAGGGCTGGTGGGGGGACTCCGAGCGGCCCCTCTCAGCCCGCACCGGCGGGCCAGGGCGCGGGGTGTCAATGCCCGTGGCGCCGCTGGTGCTGGGGCTGCGCTGATCGTCGCTGCCACTGTGAGTGGTGCCCGCGCTTGCGCCGGCGGTGCCAGGCCCTTCGTTGCCTGCGTTGCCTGCCTCGCCGCCTGCGACGTCCTCTGCGCCGCCGCCGCCGCCGCTGTTGCCGGGCTCGCCGCTTCTGCCCATGCGCGCGCGGCGAGGCTTGCTGCCGTCGAGGGCTGCGGCAGCGGCAGCAGCATCTGCGACGCGCCCGCCGGCGCCGCCGCCGCCGACCGGGCGCTCCCTGTCCTCTGTGTGGGCCAGGGCGTCCTGGATGCTTTGGACAAGCAGGTATGCGGCCAGCAGGCCGCCATACACCCCAGTCGGCATGAGGGCTGTGGCCAGGGCCACCGGCGCCCCCAGACGCAGCGGCCCGAGGCGCAGCCGCCGCGCCGCCGCGCGCAAGAGCCCCTTCGCAAGCGCCACCGCGCCGCAGCACGCGCTCGCGCCCGCGGCGGCGGCGAGGGCGAGGCGCGCCACGTCCGCGACGGGGAGCGTGGCGAGCCGGCGGCGCGCCGCGGCTGCCGCGGCGGCCAGCGGCCGCTCGCCGCGCTGCTGCTCTGCTGCGATCTCAGCTGCTATCTACCAGTTGCAGCAAGCATCAAGGCGTGGGTTTGCAAGTGGAGGCGTTGGTTGCTATTTCAGCAGGGCAAGGCACGCGGCGCCACGCATGCACCCCAGGCAACGCACCGCGCCATGCACGCACCCCGCCGGCTGCGTTCAATTGCACAGTCAAGTTGTCGCGCCTACACCGCAGCGGTCGATCTTGCTGCAGCTGGTCAACAACAGGCATGCACCCGCATGCGTGCCTGCCCAAGATCTGGCTGAGATGTTTGACAATGTGAGGCCCACCTCTCGAGGCTGCAGGGCACCCAGAGCGTCCAGCCCCAACGCCGCTGCCGCCAGAGCCCTCGCATGCTGCTGCAGCCCCCGCGGGTCGAGCGCGCCGCCGACGCGCTTAAGACTGACGCGTCGTCCCGCCGATGTCCCCAGCCGTGCTCCCAGCCGCGCGATGCGGCGGCCAGGTCCGTCAGCGTTACTGGCAGCGGAGGCGCCATCACCTCGAGGCGCAAGCGCGTGTGTCACGGACGGCTTTGCTGAAAGGATTGGGTGCACGATCGTCGGGACTGATGTGTGCTTGTCGGGTGCCTTCTGCGTTGTGCCAAGCCACAGCCCGTGCAGCGTGGCGCACGCCTCGATGTTGGAGGTCAGCACCGGCAAAGGCTCTGCCGCTGGCAGCTGCGCAGCTGCGGCCGCGACCGCGGGCATGCGGTCGGCCGTGGAGGTGTGTCCCACTTCTCGATGCCGTGATATCACGGCAAGGGGGGGTGACATTCTGTTGAAAGCGAGGTGGGCGTGCATGCAAAGCGCGTGCACTGAGTCTAAAGGGCCCTCCTACGACGAGCGCCCCCCGCTAGCCATTCAGCGATGAATCATGCGCACTCGCACTTGTGAGCCGTGGGCCTGAGCTGCTCTCTCTAAGAGCACGCACCGAGCTCAGGCACAGCTTGGTACAAAATTGGTCGGTCCTCAGGGGCTTCCCCCGGTGCCTGTCACGCACATGTAAAGGTTTTCAATCATATTGAAATTGTGGCCGGTGAGCATTTGCAACGAACGGCTCCAAACCAGGCAGGCGCAGTGCATGTGAAGGGCGTAACTTGGCGGATGGAGTTACCCTACTGCAGGACTGCTCTCCTGCGTCAAACACTCTGTGCTACCTGTTGCCCGTGAGAAGCGTTCAGGAAGGCCATCATAGCGTTGAACTTTAATCAGGCCTGGGGCATGCACCATGGCAAGGGGGAGTTGGGGGCGACAGCGCACATGGTGATTTGGCGGCTCTTCTACATTTGAGGCAGCGGGGCGCGAAGTAAGGGCGTTGCATGGCCGCGCAGACCACCGGTGGAGCAGACATACACTCCAGGTCGGACGCAAGATTCATGCTTCCATGCTCTCCAGGAATTACGGCTGCATGTGGCGCAGCGTGCGCACTGCCTGATGGGCGCATGGAGCATGCCAGGGTGCACTGCAGGCGGCCCACCCAGACCGTCAGGATGCAGGTGCACCCAATAATGCCCAACATGCACCGTGTAATCATGAGATCGGCTTTGCGGCAGCTGATTTGCAGGTACGCTTGAAACAGGGGAGATGCTGGCGGCTGGAGCAGGGTGGCAGGCAGGTGTGTGCATCTCAGCTGCAAAATGCTGGGGCACAGCGACACCCGGGAGCTTGTGGCGGCGTCACCCAGGAGCAGAGCGCAAATCGCCAGCAAGTTTCTTTGGTGTGGCAGTGTATCTGGTTTGCATAAGTTATGGGGTTTCGGCCAGAGACGGTCTGCTCATGTGTGATGAGCAGGTGCAGCATCAGCATTGTGCTGACCTTTTGGTGGACCGTCTAGATTCAAGAGCAGTGCTTGAGATGATGCAGCAGTTTGGTACGCACTGAGAATCACGGATCGTGAGAGTAGGGTTCAGGATTTGGACAAAGGAGGTGCTGCAGCTGTGCAAACCAATCACTGACAGATCCAATCCATAAGCGCACCTCCGTTGAGCAGGGTCGGCGCAGGGTCCTTGCACCACAGGTCCAGGCACCCAAAAACAAGAACCCTGAAGACGCACCATTTCCGGCAGCACGTCGCGACATGACGCAGCGCCAGTGCCACAGGCGCCGCGCCGCCCAAGCCCCCAGCAGCGAAAGAGGGGGCTTGGTGCACGGTGTGGTGGCTGCAGTGCAGGCCGATGGGCATTGCTGGCATTGTGCAATGTCTCCTCAACAGTTTACGCCACGATGAGGGCCAGGGTGTCAGCCAGCAGTCGCGCCGTGCCGACATCAGCCAGAGCCTGGCAGAGAGTCTCCTTTTCCTTGACTTCGGCAAGACCACGCAGCACATGCCTGCAGCGTGCTAGTTTACTGCACATCACGTCCACAATTATGAACAGGGCGACTCGAGCCGTGCACAGTTTCTGCACGATGTTCCGGCAGGTGCATGTCGAAAGGTCACCACTGTTGTGCAACTTGAATCGAGTGAGAACGCTCACGCATTGAGACATTGGTGAATCAACACCGTCAAATCGCACTGATTCATTGCAAACAAGCCTGATCTTGATCATTTTCAACAGCAGCTTACTCCACAACAAGCCGAGTGCGACTACACTACAGGGCATCATCTACGTGTCGATAGAGCATCACTTGCCAGTGTGGAAGCCGCAAGCTGTGCAGCCGTGCAGCTGTGGCAGCGGCACTGCAGCGCACCGACTGCAGGCCCTCAAGCACTGGCAGCAACGCACAATTGCACAAATTGCAGGCGGTGTTGGTGTAACAAAGACAAAGCGTACGTCATGCAAGTAGGGTGCAGCGGCAGGGCGGCACCCTCAGTGCGGTGGCCCAGCCCGCTTGTCAAGCGGTTGTTTTTGCGGCATCCATTCAGGACAGCAGCAGCAGCTGCTGCTGACGCAGGTGGTGGCGCTTCGAGCACATCAGCAACATCGGCGTCACGGGCGCCAACCTACACATGTCGGAGGTGCAAGCAGGAGTTCACCGCTGCAGCCAACTCGCCGCGCGCGTGCCACTTTCACCCCTGCATATACACAGGCGGCGAGATGGCCAAGGTGGGCTGCCTTACAATTCATTTCAAGGGATGCAACAAGCCAATCAGGCTTCAGGACGCAAGCCTCGGGTTTCGTTGGCTCTGTTTCACAAATCAAATCATGGAACACAGTCTGGTGCCCGCTTAAGATAACAACCCCAAATTTTGCCTCATGTGGCCCCACATCACATTCAGGCGTACGGGTTTGTCAGGCAGAGCGACGCCCCTGAGCACCAGCTGGAGGCAGTGATGGGGCGGAAAGGGCTCATAAGGTGGGCGCTGGCGGGCGCTTGTGTGTGTGTGTGTGTGTGTGTGTGTGTGTGTGTGTGTGTGTGTGTGTGTGTGTGTGTGTGTGTG